AATTAGCAGAAGAAAAGCAACTTAACATCTGATTAGAGTTTACACTTTAAATTTTCTCCTATCTGGGATAATTAATTCCTGAAAATATCCACCCTCACAAGCCAGCCAACTTTCTCCTTCTCTTCTTCTTGGCCATCTTGGTTGAGACTCACATGGAAACGGTCCATGAGTTGGGTTTTTTCCTTTCCCTTCTTCTTCCAGGCAATAGACTGACTAAACAAATTTGAAGATGGAGATGAGAATGTTGTACCAAGATGAACTGAAATGAGATGAGGAGGTTCAGGATGAGGATGATGGGGCTTCACTCCACAGCTGGGCTCATGGTCAGTCTTGTGGCCAGCAGCTTGGCACAGTGCTGGTGCCCAGCTCTCCCAGGCAAAGCCCCAGTGCCTAAAGCTTTGCTCTGCATTTGGAAATTGCCTCCAATCACCCTTTTTCCTCCCACCCCATCAGACAGGTACTGTTTTCTCTGCAGAGAGGTAGCCTTTGAGCTAACCCGTGCTCCAGCTTTTTTTTTTCTGGTTGCTTGGCCTCCTATTTCCTAATGACGATGCAATCAGTTTTCAGGTGGGTGATTCCTCATGAGAAGGCTTGTTGCTATTTAAGGAAGATCATGAAATTCATCCTTAATCAAAGGACAGGAGAAAACCCTTCCACCAAGTTACACTGAAGCCTGAGATTATCATTTTTATGGGCTTCCAATCTTTCCTGCCTTACGTCTTATCAGTGAATGCAGCTGGAGGCTTCAAAAACCCTCCCAGTTTGCTGCTGATTTTGTGGGATGAAGATTAGAGATGATCGGATAGTAAATTATTCATTCCATTTGATATCACTGGGCAGAAGGGAATATCCAAAGCGAAGTCAGCTCCCTTCTCCCTTTCTGAGCATCACGTATTGGGATCCCGACTATCTGCCATTCCAGCAATGCAGCGGCACTTTCCTCTGTGCTCAGAGCTGATTCGAGGTGCGATACGTCCTCTGAACAGATGGGAAAGCCAAGGGGGAATCATGGATGCGGGCACATCCCCCAGAAATAAGACAGACTGGAGGCAGGTGGATTTTCTTCTCGTTTCAGAGACTTCTAGTTTGATTCCTCCCAGCCCGGGGCAAGGTGGGTCAGATCAGGGAGGTGTTTCCTCAGCCAAATTTCTCAAGGTTGCAGGACCTGAGGCTGGTGTGAATGTGCTGTCAGACCCCTGGCAGCTACTGAACCCCAGACAGAGGAGCAGGGCCCTATCTGGTGCCTGATGCTGGGCCTAGACAGCTGCTGGGTACCAGCTCCCAATGTGTGTCCTGCCAGAACCCGTCCTGGCTGACACCACTGGAACACGCAGGCTGCCTGTGAGGAGAAGGGGAAAATGCACATCCTCCCCAAACAAGGGTCCTGGGGGGATCATGGCCATTACTGTGCTACCCCCTTCTCAGTGCTGCTTATTCAAGGCTTACAATTAGCATCAGTCTTGAATGGTCTAATAAAATGTCTCATAAAATGCTGAAAGGTGGCTTTTTTCTTGGCCCTGTGTGCGTGCAGGAGGGGACCAAATGGCCCAGCTAAACCCCTGGCTAGTGAGAAGAGGATGGAGACAGCATGAGGCCATGCCAAATCACCACACCATTGACACTGGGGCTTTCATCAGCACATAAATAAGAAAAAATAATCCTGTTTGAAGGCATTTTCAAAGAGGGGGAGTGAAGACATAGACCTGTGGTGGACAAAAAGATTTTTTCTGTTGCTGTTTATCCACACTGACACCTTGGGTCAAGAAAATGCCCTTCTTATAGCAGCTGTAGCTCCTGTCTCTCTCCCAGCAGCATCCATCCCAGTCTGGATGCAAAAAGCAGTGTCAATTGGAAATGAGAGAATTCTGGGGCAAGCAATGAATATTTGGTTTTGATGGAAAATGTTAAAATAAACAAGCAATTACAAATTTGATTTGTGGAGGTTTTTTTGATTATCTTTTTGGAGCAGTTATTGAAATGCAACACATTTATCACTACTATTTTTTTTTCCTAGGAAAAATGCAATATCTTCTTTAGGGGTCATTTGGGTTTGCTCTCGTCTATTTCCTTTATTTTTATGGGGTTTTTTTTCTAAGAGAGGTGTAGGAGATGGAGAGGGTAAAGGGCAGAAGGAAGGAACGAGAGAAGAAGGAAGGAAGTGAAGAAGAAAGAAAAATAACCCCCATAAAAACACAGAACCCTACATTTTCCAAAGAGGAACTGGCATCTGTGCTCTGAATCGTATCACCCAGGAACACATTTGAGGCTCAGGAACGTTGCTTTGAGCAGAAGTTAAGTTTGGCTACAAAAAGACATATTTCTTGGGAGGGGGGGAAATGCCAATTTTTGGAGGATAACAGTGTAAATCCTGAAATCCTAAGGTCTGCTTTGTGTGACCTGTTGTATGGGCAACTGCTCACATGAGACCCTGGGAGAGAACTGAGCTGAGCCCGGCTCCAGTTGGGTTTGACTGACTGCTGCTGAGGTGATGTGCCCCTTGTGTGCCTCAGTTTCCCTCACCTGTAAAATGAACCTGTAGGGCTTTGCCTCACCATGACTGGGCAGTACTGAAGGCATCAATGCAAGATTTCCAGCATGCTGCAGCAGAAACACTTAGCTTCTCACCTCTTCAGGTCCCAAGCCACAGTCAGAATGACAAAAGAAAGAGCCAGATGATAAATTAGTTGCCAAAATCTCTGACTTTGCCCCTGCAACAAGGCTGCTGCCATTACAGTGACTTGCTGTTTCTCACCCCCACCCTGGGCTGGACCCAGCGATATGCAACCAAGCAGGTGCCGTGGGTGCTTTTGGCCATGGTAACACATACCTCCCTAATAGCTGTCATGGGCTAAAGATGATGTCTTGGAGCACAGGGGAGCTTTGAGATAAGCAAAGGAGTGATTCCTTGGCCCCATCAGCAAGCCCAGAACAATTGAATTTCCTTAAATTTCTTATAAATGTGAGAATGTGTAATGGTAAAGTGTTATTTGCTCCTCAGAAGAGAGCCAACAGTAAGACCCCTGTCTGGAAGGCACAGCAGCCCTGCCTTAAGGAGTCCAGTCTGTCCTGTCTCCCTAACACACTGTAGGATACGAGTGGATCCTTGAGACATCCCTGTCCTTGGGAAATCAGCTCAAGGTCCCTGGAGCTGGGCTGGGCAGAGCCCTGAGGTGAGAAGATGACCTGGAGTACGTATGGAGGAGGAGCAGAGGAACCCCCTGAGCAAACTGCAGCAGCCCCAGGCACACCTGGGGTGTGGATAGGAACAGCAGAGATGTCTCAGACCTTGAATTTTCTACAGGCAGCAGCAGGACCAGCTTCTCTAGCACTTCTGATCTGCTGATAAAACCTTCTGCTCTAAAGAGCTAATTTTTTTTGATGGGCATTTGCTAAGAGACAAGCATCAAGCAGGCACCAAAGATCGCGAGCTCTGGGTGCTTTCCCAGATAGGTAACGTGGAAGCAAGCTGTGGGGAACCCAAAGTTCACTTTCATTTTTATTTCTCCATAAGCCATTTCTTTTTATCTGTAACAGGATTAGATTGTTTTTATGGGGCCTTATCATTGGCCCTGTCGTGTCACTTCTCACTGGGTGCAGTGGGAGAGTGCATGAACTCCCCCAAGGAGCTCATGGGCAGAAACCAGCAGGGTTGGGAATGGGATTATCCCACATTGTGGATTGGGATTGGGCCATGGAAAGGAATTTGGGAGAGAGCTGAGAACTGCCCTTCAGTCTTGTACAGTTCAAGCTAGGTCTGACTTGTTTTCAGGATAAATTACATTATTCTAGATCCAAGGGAAAGA